TTAGGGTTAGCAAGGGTTAGGGTTAGCATGGGATAGGTTTAGGGTTAGGATTAGGGTAAGGGTTAGGGTTAGGGTAAGGGTTAGCAAGGGTTAGGATTAGCAAGGGATAGGTTTATGTTTAGGGTTAGGGTGGGGGTTGGGGTTTAGGATTAGGGTTAGGGTTAGGTTTAGCATGGGTTAGGATTAGCAAGAGATAGGTTTAGGGTTAGTGTTTGGGTAAGGGTTAGGGTTAGTGTTAGGTTTAGGGTTAGGGTTAAGGGTTAGGGTTAGGGTTAGGGTTAGGGTTAAGGTTAGCAAGGGTTAGGATTAGCAAGGGATAGGTTTATGTTTAGGGTTAGGGTGGGGGTTGGGGTTTAGGATTAGGGTTAGGGTTAGGGTTAGGGTTAGGTTTAGCATAAGATAGGATTATCAAGAGATAGCTTTAGGGTTAGTGTTAGGGTAAGGGTTAGGGTTAGTGTTAGGTTTAGGGTTAGGGTTAAGGGTTAGGGTTAGGGTAAGGGTTAGGGTTAGTGTTAGGTTTTGGGTTAGGGTTAAGGGTTATGGTTAGGGTTAGCAAGGGTTAGGGTGAGCAAGGGTTAGGGTTAGGGTTATGGTTAGTGTTAGGGTTAGGGTTAGTGTTAGCAAGGGTTAGTGTTAGGGTGAGTCTTAGGGTTAGGGTTACGGTTAGGGGTAGGGTTAGGCTTAGGGTTAACAAGGGTTAGAATTAGCAAGAGATAGGTTTAGGGTTAGGGTTAGGGTTAGGGTTAGCAAGGGTTTGGGTTAGCAAGGGATATGTTTAGGGTTAGGGTTAGGGTTAGCGTAAGGGTTGGGGTTTAGGTTTAGGGTTAGGGTTAGGGTTGGGGTTAGGGTTAGGGTTAGGGTTAAGGGTTAAGTTTAGGCAGAATCTGTCTCAATGCATGATGTAACAGTCGCGGGTTTAGCCCATTCCAGACACGCAGCGGTTCCCAATAATCCCCTCTCTAGGCTATAAGCCCTATTCACTGCCCACCGCTCTCTGAATTTTTTGCTTTTTCTCTTGGGTTTCTGCTTTTGCTGTTGCTGTTCTGTTGCGTGTCTGGCAGAATACCCACTGCCGTCCGGTATGTACTTTGCTTATATAGAGCACTGGCCCCGCCCACTGGGCAGAGTCAAGAGGTGGAGTCATCACTGATTGGTCCGTTTCAGTGGCTGCGTTTACTGGGCGGAATCAACGCTGATTGGTCCACACACTAACTGCAAGCTATGTCCAAAGCCTGTTCCCTAACCCTAACCCTAAAAGAGAGACTGCAAGCTATGCGCAAACCTTTTTCCCTAACCTTAACCATAAAAAAGAGACTGCAAGCTATGCACAAAGCCAGTTCCCTAACCCCAAACTTTAAAAAAAGACTGCAAGCTACTAGGGTTAGGGTTAGGGTTAGGGTTAGTGTCACTGTCTGATGAGACTGGACTGTTTGCTAAAGAGGATGAGTTATGAGGCAGACCAAACTCCTCCCTCTCTGCAATTGTAATGTCAAATTAAGGGGCTTTACTCAAGGAAAATGTGGAAAAAAACAGAAGAAATAACAACCCTTTATTAAAAGATATATGTATGTTTGTAAAACAGTAACAAGAAACAACAACAACAACAAGTTTGAATGGATACTCCTCTGTCCTTTAGCACAGTCCTAATCGTGGCCTGCAGGGGGTGTTGTTGGGTCGCTGGAAGGTGCAGGACCTGCAGTACCTGGTCGTGATCGGCAGGGGGCGCTGTGGGATCGCTGGAAGGTGCAGGACCTGCAGTACCCTGTCGGGCTCCGGAAGTCACCACGTGGCAAACAAAAAGGGGTCGGGGGGGTGGGGGGGGGGAGCAGTCCCGGCCCGCAGGGGAAAACCGAGAGGGGGGAAATGGGGGGGCCCCTTTTGTCCTCAATGGAGGGAAGGGGGTGAGGAGAAAAAAAAAACAGTTCACCCCTCAAGAGGACCCACCGCTCCCAGATGGCAGTGTCTCCAAGACTCCCCCCCCCCTCCTTTCCCTCCCGGCAAGCACCGACCTCTCCGATGAAAAGGAAGCAGGAAAAAAAACAAAACAGCACTCGTCGGCCCCGGTGGGAGTCAGGAGGCACCGGCGGCGCAGGGCTGACAGTCAGATCTCACAGGGTGAAAGAACCAGGGGAAAGATAGCTGGCTCCCAGACTTTTCTCCAGAAAAACCCCAAAGCCGTCCCCGCGTCTCCTGGACTGAACACCCTCTGCCCCCTCTCCTCCCCGAAACCGGCCCCGCCCCTGGT